AAAAAAAAAAAAAAAAAACAGAGGGGGCCTTGCTCCACTATTCTTGACATGCACAACGGACAGAAATCAAGGGCGCTGTATCTTTCCATGTTCTACAGGAAGATTCTCTCTCGTTTTGCACATTGCAAGAGTAGTGGAGCCATGCAAAACGAGAGTGAATCTTCCGCTACAACATGGAAAGATGCACCACCACGAGGCCCCAAGGATGACACGCATAGGTCGAGAAATCTGAGAAAGGAAAGAAAAGAGACCAAAAAAGAGAAAAGAAACTGGGTTTTTATCAGCACGTGTCTCCCCTAGGGCCTCTGTGTTTTTGTCAGCCCCTGTATCCCGCTGGGCCCCTGTATTCCCTTTGCACAGAAGACAAAAATCATGGAGCTGTATCTTTCGATGTTCTGGGGAAGATTCACTCTCATTTCGCACAATTGGAGATCAGTCGTGGAAACGGAGAGTGAATCTTTCGGTAGAGCATGGAAAGATACAGTGCCACGATCTTTTTTTTGTTTCTTTTCTTTTTTGGAAAACGGCCGGGCCCTCCAACGTGGATAACTAGACTGCAGTTACAAACTCAGGGCCTCTCATCCTTGTGGTTGTTTAGGGGAATTTGCGGCATCGTTCCACTCATCCTTGGCGACCTCCCCCAAGGATGTTTCCTTGTGGCTTACGAGCGGCTGTTTTCATACGTAAATTAGCGGCCGCGGGGTCGGTCGTCCTTGGTCCAGTGTCTTTTGTCCGTGTGGAGGCGGCGTGGTCCAGCGACGCGAGGCAGGAAACCGCATACAGCGGGCAACGCGAAAATAAATTTAACCCCAAGGGCGAGGGCACTTCAAATTCGAAATTTGAATGACTGCCGCGACGACGACGACGACGTATGGCTGGCGGCGTGAGGACGGCGTGTGGTGCGTCCATCGCCGTGGACCTTTGCACACGTCGACTGCGCCTTGCTCCTCGTTTCCTGCGGGACTGTAAGCAGAGAAAAGGGGCCACCTTTCGACGGACATCTTCGGCTTCTTCGTCGGGTGCGGAAGGACCACACAGACGG